TAGAGGGAAGGCAGCTAGTCAACACCACCCACCGCCAACTCTTGTACCAACGAACACTGGGATTGACCGTAACATTATAACGCCCCCATGACTGAAAGGGCGAACATGTTCGGTGAGGGGAGTCGAACTTCAGATTGCGAGTAGAGCACCTTAATCATCAGGCCACGCGAGGTCTACACACAACATAACTCTTTTAAGGTCAAACGAGTTCCACAAAATGTCTACTGTCAGATGAAATGATAAGTTTGACAGCTTACAACGCTGAAATTAGAGGAGGGGACATAGCGGACATAGCCCATTGTACAACTTTCTGCCTAACAGTAGCAAAGTGTTGGGTAGTTTTTATTACGATCAAACTTAGATGAATATAGAAACATTTTACACCAGGGGAAAGCTGTTTAATATTTAGCGATTGGTGTGTCATGAAACAGTAGTTACATATCAAAGAAGCCTCCCAGTGGCACAACGGTATGTCTGCGGAGTTAGAACGCTAGGAACCGGGTTTCGATACCCGTGGTGTGCAGACCACAGATAGCCCTTTGTGTAGCTTTGAGCTTAACTACAAACAAACAAACCTGTCGAAAAAATCAAAGTACTAAACGGTTGTTTTTTGTTTTCTTCTCAGTGACATTTGTTTTGGAGGAAAAATTACATTTCTCAAACTAAAGATTTAAAACTTGAGTACGTCAAGGTGACATTTATTTTGGAGGAAAAATTACATTTCTCAAACTAAAGATTTAAAACTTGGATACGTCAAGGTGACATTTATTTTGGAGGAAAAATTACATTTCCCAAACTAAAGATTTAAAACTTGGGTACGTCAAGGTGACATTTATTCTGGAGGAAAAATTACATTTCCCAAACTAAAGATTTAAAACTTGGATACGTCAAGGTGACATTTATTTTGGAGGAAAAATTACATTTCTCAAACTAAAGATTTAAAACTTGGATACGTCAAGGTGACATTTATTTTGGAGCTTATCGCTAAGCCACGTGCATAAGGAGGGTGGGAGAAGTTTACTAGAAATAGAAATAGACATTGCTGCTGAGGTTACATAAATATATTTCATGATTAGATACAGATAAATGTACCTGAACGTATTGGCTGTTTTGTAATAATTATACTTTTCACAAGACATTAGTATTAGGCCTGATATGACAAGTATCATTAATTATAATCATGCGTTCATCAATAATCATTGGTTGTTTAATTGAGTAACACTGTGTCATTTTCTAGTTCCAGGAAACTCACATAAAAAGGAGAAAGATGATGAAGGTAAGCGAATCATTGATAATGATTAAAAACTTGATTTTATTACGGAACCAAAAATTAATCTTTACTCCGATTACGTGACCAAGATCGACCTGTTGAGGTAATTATGATTAAATGGTAAAAAACAACAACAATCTCTTAACTCCAGTATAATACTTGATCAAAAATCGATCTATTAATACGATTAATATTAAGTGATCAAAACAAATGTGATTAAATTAAATCCGAGTAGAGGAAACTAAATTTTCTCACTAAACATCACTAAAGTAGTTCACATAATCTAAGGCATCATAAAGAAGTAAAACCTCTTGAAGAATTTGTGTGAAACCTTAAATTCAGATTGTTTTGTAAGTTCACAGAGCTTTGTCACTTATAAATAAAAATTAAAGTTTTAAAACAAAACATTCCTCAATAATAGACATTTAAAACAAAATCTGCTTTAAAGAAAGAGTTTCAAAACAACATTTTTACAAGAACAGAATTAAAAAAACTCCTTTAAGAAACAGAATTTAAAACAAACTATTTCGAAAAAATAGAAGTTTTAAAATAAGATCTTCCTTAATTCTAAAATAAAACCTTCTTCAAGAATAGAAGTTTTAAAATAAGTTCTTCCTTAATTTTAAAATAAAACCTTCTTCAAGAATAGAAGTTTTAAAATAAGTTCTTCCTTAAGTTTAAAATAAAATCTTCGTCAATAATAGAAGTTTTAAAATAAGTTCTTCCTTAATTTTAAAATAAAACTTTCTTCAAGAATAGAAGTTTTAAAATAAGATATTCCTTAAGTTTAAAATAATACTTTCTTCAAGAATAGAAGTTTTATAATAAGATATTCCTTAATTCTAAAATAAAATCTTCGTCAATAATAGAAGTTTTAAAATAAAATCTTCCTTAATTTTAAAATAAAACTTTCTTCAAGAATAGAAGTTTTAAAATAAGATCTTCCTTAATTTTAAAATAAAATCTTCGTCAATAATAGAAGTTTTAAAATAAGATGTTCCTTAAGTTTAAAATAAAACTTTCTTCAAGAATAGAAGTTTTAAAATAAGATCTTCCTTAATTTTAAAATAAGATCTTCCTTAATTTTAAAATAAAACCTTCTTCAAGAATAAAAGTTTTACAATAAAATCTTCCGTAAGTTTAAAATAAAACTTTCTTCAATAATAGAAGTTTTAAAATAAGATCTTCCTTAATTTTAAAATAAAATCTTCGTCGAGAATAGAAGTTTTAAAATAAGATCTTCCTTAAGTTTAAAATAAAACTTTCTTCAAGAATAGAAGTTTTAAAATAAGATCTTCCTTAATTTTAAAATAAAATACTTCGTCAAGAATAGAAGTTTTAAAATAAGATCTTCCTTAATTTTAAAATAAAACCTTCTTCAAGAATAGAAGTTTTAGAATAAAATCTTCCTTAAGTTTAAAATAAAACTTTCTTCAAGAATAGAAGTTTTAAAATAAGATCTTCCTTAATTTTAAAATAAAATCTTCGTCAAGAATAGAAATTTTAAAAAAAGATCTTCCTTAAGTTTAAAATAAGATCTTTCTTAAGCTTAAAATAAAACTTTCTTCAAGAATAGAAGTTTTAAAATAAAATCTTCCTTAAGTTTAAAATAAAACTTTCTTCAAGAATATAAGTTTTAAACACAACTTTTTCAAACAATGGAAATTTTATAAATAACGAAGAAATGCTATTTTCAGTGTACGTGTATAGAAAGTATGTTTTATACACCTGTTGAATTATCGCCCTTTGAGAACCAATTTGTAATATTAAATATTGTTCTTTAAAAACAATAACCATAACACTAGTAGCTAACTGACTGTGTATTGTAGGTAACAGATGTTTATTGTTAGGATGTGATCTGATGATTACAGCTTCTGTCTATTCTAGAACACAGCAGCAAGGTACTTGCTTCTTGGGCAGTGGTGGTTATTTGTCTTTCTATCGTTACGTTAGTGGCAGTTATCACGTCTCTGTGTTTCTACAGACTAAAAAAGATTTCCACATCAACGAAGTTACCACTATCTTTCGACAATATCATGCATACATCAGGATCTGACACACTTTCATATCCAGCTTTGTCCTCTTCTTCTGTAACACCCCCTACTTCATAATGTTTCCGTCATTGGTTTTATACTGATTTTATGTATTGCTGAGCTAAATGATATCGTGTTATACATTCTTATATATACATTACCTAAATAGTAATATTTTCTGAAATATGTATTATTTAGTGAATCTAAGTTTCAAACAACCTATCAAAGATTATGTATTATTTAGATTTTATTACATATTTGCAAAGTAGCCACTTATTTCATTGGTCTCATATTGATTTTATCTTTATCTATTGTTGAAATAACTAATATTGTGATATTCTTCTT